ACATGGGAAGCTGCTCCTGCACCAGCTCCTGTCGGTACTATGGAAACTGCTGTTATGACTACAGCTGTAAGTATTCTGGCACTAATATAAAGCAGAGAACCTGGTGATCAGCAAGTGATTTAAACACCTAGTAAAATGACTTATTTGCTAATCTGATGTGGAGCACTTTTCTTTTCATGAAAGTTAACAATATTCAGCCAACACTGAGCATCTCTAACAGTTTTTAAGTGCAGCATAACTTATAGACTCTCAAAGCTGCCTCTGAAAGACAGACATTAAGCATATAAATGTGTAATTGACAGTCAGATTCACTTTAATCTTCTGACAACTCCATTATTTTCTTGCACAATGAACCTCGTCTGCCTGTAAACCCCCAAAATAAGGTGTCAAATTTTGTTCATGCTTTCTCTCCCCTTAGCTTACTGCCAGTCAACGACTAACATGACCACCACAGGTAAGAACACCTGTGAGGTTTACCTGCAAATATGTAAGTACATCATTTATTCTACCAGAAGGAAATCTGAATGACATCACGCTGCTGTCTCTCAGCTCAGCCCTCGTGTCGATACAACTGTGGAAGACACATGGGAAGCTGCTCCTGCAGGAGCTCCTGTCGGTACAATGGAAACTGCTGTTATGACTACTACTGTAGGTATCCTGTAATGCAAAGAATAAACAGGTCATCAACAGTTTGAAAATGATCTTTCTGAAACTGTTTCTTTTCCAAACAGCCTACTGTCCAACAAACACAACACAAGGTAGGGTTCTCAGTGTGCCAAACGGAACTACAGTACATGTTAATACTCCGTCAGTCAGCTCAGGTGGAGGTTCTTTGTGAAAAGTAACACATGAACAATGACCACGTATTTATTCTGTCTCACAGCTTCTGGTTCATGTCGAAACAACTGTGGTCAGCACGTGGGAAGCTGCTCCTGCACCAGCTCCTGTCGGTACAATGGAAACTGCTGTTATGACTACAGCTGTAAGTATCCTGTAATGCAACAAACAGCATGCTGCGTCAGCATAACTGTGTGTGTCTTCTTGAAGAAATAGGTTAAAATGTGTTTCCCCAAAAAAGGATCCTGTAGAATATTTTAAGATAACTGTGCAGATTATTACAAAATTGAACTAATAAAATGGAGGTGAGTTTGTAGTTCGGCTTTGTTGTGTCTGGGGGGGATGATCTGGACCTGATGATTAGCAGGTGATTTAAACAACTTGTAAAATGTAGCATCTTTAAGAGTCTTTAAGTGCAGCATAACTAATAGTCCCACAGGTTCATTACACTTTGCATTACAGGTATCCTGTAGTGCAAAGCTCAACACAATCTGCTCCACTTGAAAAAGCAAAAATGTCACAATTTTCATTCTTCTTTTTTTTCCCGCACAGCATACTGTGATAACACAACTCCTCCAGGTACGTTTTGTGCTTTGTTTTTTTGGTCCAGCATTAGCCAGCTACCATCACAACTCGCTGACGTGACTTTTTTGTCCACCCAAAACAGGCAAATGTGGAGACTTTCTTTTTGGTTCAGGCACCTTTTCCAGCCCTAACCACCCCGGCTACTACTCTGACAATGCCGACTGCGTCTGGCAGCTCAGAGCTGTACATGACCAAAGAATCTTTCTGTCGTTCAAATTCCTGCAGTAAGAAACAAACTACCAGAGAAAATCCATACAAATGCCTGATTGTATTTTGACGCCTTTTACTCACCTGTTTTTGGCTTTTATAATATTCAACAGGCTGGACAAATGCTGCTCCTGCGACTACATTGCCATCTATGATGGGCCATCTAATCATTCGGGGTCTTTGGGGAAAGTGTGCAACAACAGTCTGACCACCTTTTACTCCTCCTCCAACTACATGACTGTGGTCTTCCGAAGTGACAGTTCTGTGGTTGCCCGGGGATTCAGTGCCGAGTTCATGAGCACTCTGAAACCCAGCTCAGGTGCAGTTAGAATAACCTTTCTGATCTAAATTCTGATCTATATTCCTGTGAAATGCTTGAACTGGTAATAGTGCTGGGAAACCTGTACCAATTTGCCACATTGTTCTATAACTGTTCGCCTTGTTCTCAGATAAGTTGCCCTAGTTCATTTGTCAAAACAATCCCTGCCAGGTCAAGTGGACTGCTCCTCAGGCAACATGAACATCGTGATTGAGAGAAGTTACCTGAACTCTCTCGGCTACGACGGCCACAGTCTGTACCTGAATGACCCACAATGCAGACCACAGATCTCCAGCTCCCAGGTGGTCTTCAGGTTCCCCCTCAACACTTGTGGAAACATAAGACAGGTATAGACAACAAGTCACATTCTGGATAGCATGAACAAATCACACCAGACTAACTTACTGTGAACACACAGGCAGACTTGACTTCCTGCGTCTTCCCCCCTGACAGGACTACAACGGCAGAATCGTGCACACCAACAACGTCCGCGCCTACGCCTCCAGCTACGGAGAGATCACTCGCCAGTCCCACTTTAAGCTGAACGTCACCTGCCTCATGGAGCCCGACTCGGTGTCTCAGATCATGTTTGTTGTCAAAAACAACGGGAACAGCAGCATTACTGGCTCTGGCAGATACCAAACCGGCATGGCTTTCTACACGTCCAGCAGCTTTAACTACAAGGTGCTGTGGTCAAAAAGGCCGTGGATACATTTCCTGTTTAGAACACATGATGCTGATACTTTGCGTCCGACAGGTTACCCAAGTCCCATACGAGGTGGTCCTCAATCAGAATCTGTATGTCCAAGTGGACCTGGGGAGGCGTGACAGCTCCCTGATTGTCTTCCTTCACACCTGTGTGGCCTCCCCATCCCCCTTCAGTTCTAACTTCACTTCTAGATTATACTACTTGGTTCGGGACGGGTAAGATGACTCATTGTCACGCTCTGCCGCTCTTCATTGGCTTCTTTGCCTCTTTTCAGACTATACTTTCCTGTTTCAGATGCGAGGTTGACAACACCTACTGGCCTATCAGCTCTGGCACGCAGTCATTGGCCCGTTTCAGCTTCAGGGCCTTCCAGTTCCTGCGGGCCACAGACTCGGTGTACATCCAGTGCAGGGTGCTGATATGCCCCGCCTCGCAGGCCGGTTCTCGCTGTCGCCGTGGCTGCAGCAGACGAGCGGCCCGAGACCTGGGATCAGAGCACGACGACCAAACTCTGGTGGTGGGTCCCATCAAGCTTAAAGGTGGGTCTGCCTGAAAGGGCTTTAAAGTGTTGGCTTGAAATCAGTGTTGTTAAAAACTTTCCCCGCTGGGAATTTACGACTTCTGTTCTGCTTGACAGAGCCTGAGAAAAAGGAGGAGGTGAAAGAAAAGAAGGAGGTCTAAGTGGATACCACGGTGGCAAGCTCCAATCAACTTCCTGTCCTCTTCTGCTGAGTTATACTCACCGTTTTCTCTCCCTCTCATAACGTGATTAAAAGCATCTTCAAAAGACAATCTGTGTTTGGATGATTGAAGCTGACATTTCACAACTGAACATTGAATACAGCTTCTATTATTCGGTGTCCTCGAGAATGGAAACAAAACAGCAAAAGGTGAGGATTTGGTTAGAAAACACTTTACTTATAAATTAGTTAGAATAATCCATCTCACAATAAAATGATTCATTTCACCTCAGGGACGCCAGAGGGCTTAAACATTCACTACCTATCAACCTATGACACATAGAACATAAGGCCAGTACTGAGTGTCCCCATTACAGGTAAATATGGTAACAAAGAGGTGCTTCTACAAACAGCAACTATGTTCTCCACACATGTTGCTAAGCAACAGACAACAGTACCCAAAGACAAAGGACAACCTTTCTAAAATAGCAGTCTTACTGCGACACGTTTTTTTTTTTACACTAAACATCGATCCAACCATTCAGAATACAATACTCAGTAAATATTTAGAAAAGCACTGCGATTCAGTGAATCTGTGACGGACTGAATCCCAGTGATCACAAAAGGCTGATGTTTGGCAACCCTGGCGCTACGTGGCAATTTCTGGGCAAATGTTCACAGGAGACGCTCGACTTTGTGATTCTGTCCTAAACACGAGATACTGGATACGATATCAAAAAGGCTAGGAGACGGCACGATGCAACTTAAAAAGACGACGACTCTTCAGAGAGCAGTTATTGGGTTACCATGATGATGGGGCACTGCGTGGAGGAGCTGCAAAAACAACACAACAAAGTAGCTGGCTGACCAAAAAACCGCCACGTTCGCTCAGATTTTACAGCTGTAGTTTCTGAGCAGCCTTTCTGGAACAGCTATTTGGCCCAAAAACAAAAAAAAAAGACTTAAATAAACATAATTGTGGCTCCCATAGTACAATTACAAGAGCCAAACTTTTTATCCAAAGGTTCTGGGTCTAGGTATTGAGGAAGAGGATACTGTAATAGTATCTATTAGTGTTCAAAATAACAGTCCTCTCCAACTTTGACACAAAAGAGTGACTATGTCAGGCACTGCAAAGAAATGGTGATAATGCACCGAGCACAGAAATAATTTCAACAAGGCTTAAATAAGGCTCACGGCCAACGGTCTCCCTCTGAGTGAATATCATCAGAGCAGTAAGCAGGTAGAACTCATCAAGTGTTGAGAATTTATTTGAGTGACACTCCAGTTAGCAGGAAAACAGATCTCTTTTTGATTTTATTACGTTTTTTTTTTAAAGCAAGATAAAACTGTATGAAAACTTGGCTCCACCCTCTTAACCCGGGTTAGCACCTCTGGCAAGACGTGATGCACGTTTACGGAGAATCGAGTTATTCATATACTGCAAGTTGCAACAGTGCGCAGTTTTCTGTTATCATTTCAGAGGAAGAACACCATTCATGAAACATTACTTAAGAGTTAATTTCATGATATTCGTTGAACTCAGGTGTTTATTGGAATATCAAACCATTAGAGCCAAAGTTCATTCAGCATCAGGTTACCTCAGACATTGTTGAGGTAAGTGGGGCAACTGTTCTGATTTTGATTTAGGGTGACTTACGAGTGTTCTCGCTTCCACCACAAATAAATTCTCAAACTGTTAAAAAACACTGATCATCCCTTTGTAATACAATGGGGCATCAAACAGAATGCAATGATCTGAATGGTGACATTTTTCTGTGTAAATAGCTTTTTAAAACTAGGCTACAAAAAGGCCAGGTGAAAGACCAAATAAATAAAATGACTTTTTGATAAACCAAAGAGGTCCATTTAAAGCTCTTCCAGTGCCCGGCTGTTACTTGTGCTGCCCACGGGCAAAGTGGCAGGCAAAGTCGTACTTGCTCTTGCACTTGTGGCCACAGATGTTGCACTGGAATGGGTTTTCATAGCCGTGGCAGCCCATGTGGATGGTGTAAAGGATGTTGTCGGGAAAGTAGATGTCACAGTGCTGGCAGTGATGGAGCATGTGGGGGTCCTGTGGAGGGGCGGACTGGCCTGGTGCTGGTGTGCTGGGCTGGCTGTTGGAAATACTGGGAGTGCTGGTGCGCCCGCTGTGCTCGCTGCACGGCCCCCCTCCTGGGCTGCAGTGGCTGTGTGGGGGAGCCCGGGGCTCGGGAGTTATCGGTGAAGAGGAAGAGGCGTGAGCCATGCTGGCAGTGACGGCAACGGGGGCGGTGGCGGGGTGAGGCTGCTGGATGAGGAAGGGCTTCTCATCCACGACGGACTCGGCTCCAGGTGACATGGGCGGCTGAGTCTGGGCCTGGGTCTCCGACGGGAGGCTGGCCAACTGGCCTGCCAGCGTGGACAGCTGATTCAGGGGGTTGTCCATGACCATGTCGTGATGATGGTGATTTTGACTTGTGGAGATTCCCTCCTCGACCGCTCGACTCTGATTATCGTAGGCATCCTGACGCAAGTGGGGCAGCTCGTGGGAAAAGTCGCTGACATTGTCAGCCTTGTGCACCACCATGGAGGGGGGGCTGAAGTTGATGAGGAGCCTCCGGCCGTAGCCCAACGAGCTGGCTTTTTTTTGCAAAACGCTCAGCATCTTTTTGTGAGAGAGTGAGCGAGCACCTTTCATAGGCAAGAGTTTGTGGCGTCTGCGTCGGTGGTGCGATAGGTTGCTACGATCGCTGCAGCGGAAGGAGCACAGCTCACACTTGTAGGGCTTCTCACCTGTGTGTGAGCGCATGTGGGCCTCCAGGTGGCGCTCGTAGGCTGAGGCAAACGGGCACAGGTGGCAGCGGTGAGGTTTCTCTCCTGGATGTCAGGAAACACAGGCACAATAGCAAAATATTGTTATTACAGTCAGAAAATTCAATTCTGCATATTTCAGCAGGTAAGTTAGTGGGTGTGGACGTGCAGAGACAAAAGGCAAATGTGTTTTTTTTTCGTTTAAAGGGGTGGGTACTCTGAGGCGGTCTAATGCAAATGACATAAATGATTAAATATGATCAACACATGGAAGACTCTGTAACCTTTGAATGTGCTGTTCTTTTTTTTTATGGTAACTGAAAAGACAAACGACTAAAAATGGACCACTAAATCCTTGTTGAAATTAAGTTTAAGTGGAGGGAAAACTACAATCCTAGCATTACTACTAACCCTTACCTGTGTGAATCCGAATGTGTTCAATGAGTCGTGCTGTGCCCCTGGTGGCGTAGTTGCAATACCGGCATTTGAGCTTGCCGTCATAGGTCCTCTCAAAACCATCCACCAAGATCCCAGAGCTGTCCTCCAGAGACATGTCAACAGAGGGGTGATCCAGCCCGTTCTGACTGCAGTCTGTTGGCACCAAGGTTTGCATGAGACAGAACACAGACAGAAAACATATACTTAAGGAGTAAACACTACATGTATGCATAAGGCAGTACATTTCTACATTTGGCCTTCATCTGGGTACAAAACATTTACTGAAGTCAAGCGTCACACTTGTTTTACACAACGTGTATGTACAGGTGTGCAGTCCTGATGAGGTTATTGCATCAAAACAGCCAATAATGAACACTGTTCCATCTGAGAAACTATAACTACATAAGACAATTGTCATCAATAAAAACTTGGTCAAAAGTGGATGAAAAAACTGAAAGTGACTGCACTGAAACTTAAAGCCAATAAGTGTATATTACTCTTAAGTCCATATGCACTAAATGTGTGAAATTTTGAGTAGAAAAATTTAATAAAAGTAATTCTGGAACAATTCATACACCACCAAGTGGAAGAGCAAATACAGGAGAGGAAGTTAACACCTCACACTTTTAGATAAACAATACAGCTTTACTTTAACCTGTTGAACTGTTGACTGACGTTAAACTGGCAGGCTAAACGTCATGTTTCATATTTCATATGATCACAAAAATAATTCCAAACTATGCTTACGTGTAAAGAATTAACCAACACTGAAATATAAAAAAAACTTCACACTTCTGAAGCTTATCACCTACAATCAAGGAAAATCATCAAAAAAGAACAGAAACGTACATTTGGAATCAAAATCCTTCACAGAAAGTATGTATAGTTGATTAAAGGTGCCTCAAGAGATACTGACAAGAACAACAAAAGCATCCACGAGGCTTCTAATGATAAAGGTGGGCCTATAAAACAACACACACCTCCCAAACACATGCGTTTTTTCGCAGCAGAAGCCAAACAAACGGTTACCTGCTGGCAGCTCGTCCGCCTCCTTCACACCACTGACAGAGCCCGATATCATGTTGACATGTTGTGTCTGCTGGCTCAGATACTCCTGGAAATCCTTCACAAAGTCCAGCGTGTCCGGCTTTTCCTCCCCCATTGGAAGAAGTGATGGTAGTACAAATATACACTACAAAATAGAAAAATACAAAAATGACATTAGGACACGTCTCACTAAGGCTAACATTATAACTGAGGTGTTCCACAAAATGATCAGAAACTCCACTTGTAATACAACCAAAACATGAAGGTAAATAGCCACGACATGAAACGGTTTTAAAAATGAGCCAAAGTAACACGGTACTTATCACATTAACAGTAGATTTGAAAGATTCCTACCAGCCTCCTCGAAAAACAAACAGCAACTTAAATGAAACGCGTTTTGGTTGTTCTAAAGTGCTGATTAAAGGGTGACCAGACACAAAGACGGTATAACCCAGCAAAACAATGATTGAAAAGCAGGAAATCGGCGCGATCCGATGTCTGGTCGGTCGCTGCTACTCGTAGCGCCACAGCATCGTCATGTTGTTTCCAAAGCTACGTACGCTACGTTAGCCACACAGCTAACGTTAGCCTACCTGGAAGAAAGCCCTTTAATCAACAGCAACGCCGACTGTTACCCGACACGTCATTATTTAAGAGTACTACGACATTTAAATATATTTTGTATTTGATAAGCAAGATAATACATCGGAAAAAAATACCCTGCTAAATCAAAACAATTAAGCCATACATGGGGTTAAAGTTCACGTCAAGTGCGCTGATGAAACCATCCCACTAAAACTCGAATATCACCGAGAAGAAAGGTTCCTACCAGTAATAACCACGTTTACAAAAAAAGGTTAACCTAATGAAGAAGAGTGTTTGATGGAATCTGAATAATCAAATACATTATAGAATCGTTATACAACAGGTTATACAAAAACATAGTTCTTGTTTTAATAACGTTCTTCTATTTGGTAAACAAAGTGTTCTCAAAGGATTCAAGAACTCAAATAATCAAATAATTTTCTGTCAAGGAATCTTACATTTTTGTTTGTCAGACGTTATACTTTAAAAAAAAGTTGTTTTATCAAATCTCGTCAGCAGATTCTATTTTTTTTATTCTATTTTAATTTCTTTTACAAACCTTTAATCAAATATAATGCTATTTGAAAGGTTGAAGTCTTATATTTATCATTATCTATTGGCATTATTGTTTCTTAATACACAAGCTAAACAATCATTCCTTCCATGATAATTGTTTTGTTTTATAACTTTATAAAATTCTGGTTCATTAGCTTCTAATTTTGAGAACTTGTACAGATTTTTTTCCGATGACATAGATGACTAAGTAGAATTGATAACCGATTTAAAAAACATTATTATTGAAAGTCATATTCAAAACAACAAACTTTGAAGGTATCATTTTTCAGAGGCATGAATGATCTGAAACACCCATCTGACACTAATGAAATTAACTGATAGCCTGTCTGTCTGACATGACACACTTTCAGACGTGCAGCTTGTAATTATGCTCAAGTGGCAAATGAAGCACAACAATTACAATACTTTCAGAAGCTATTGACACATTCATTCATGTTTTATCACAATCAATAATTTAACAGTAAGCACGTAGTAGAGATCGCATTGCCCCATTTGTGTCAAACTTGTAGAAAAACCAGTGAGGAGAGGAAGATAAATGACCAATTAGACAGATCCCAATGTATCCTTTTACTGAATTACAACTGCTGCATTACACCAGTAATGTAAACCTGTAATGGCTGATCTGCTGACTTTGTAACATGATTCGCTCATTTAGTGTTGACTTCAAAGTTAACCTACCACACTGGATTCCTTACTGTAGCAGGACTTGCAAATGAAACATTTCAATGGATTTTGAGAACAAGAAATTAATGCTCCCCTCTGTTTTTGATGGGTACAAATGTCTCCATATGCATCTGCTGTTATATGGTAATGAGTAATGAGTACAGTTGAACAAACTGGACACTAGATGGCGCACACACATCAGTGTTGAACTAGCTGATTCTCATCATGTGACCCAGAAAGGTGAATTGTGCTGGCTATAGGCTAAGTCTTCAAAACCCTACATACCATGACCATCACTGTGTGCAGACTATGTCCATCAGGGTCAGGTAGCTCTGGCAGAGGCCAAGAATAAGAAAAGATGTAACAGTGTACCCTGTCAGCCCAACCGTGACCACCAGAGCAACCAATTACATCACTATTAAACAGCCTGTCCACACTAATGTTATTTTATTGCAATTTAATTATGCTCAGGTTTCTATGGGGGCTTGAACCTGTTGAATAATTTACACACAGCCACGATGATTTGTGGGAGCCAAAAGACAAAGTGCACACTTCTCCATACTGTAATTTGTTTAAATAGTTTGGTTGCTAATTCCTCCACATATAAATTATTTAACCACGAATCCCATTTTAAATTTATGACACAGAATGTCCCGATTCACAACCAGGTTGCATTAGGAATGACGGATGCATTTGCTGTACTTAATTTTGCATTAAGGAGTGAAACTGACAGCAGGTAATATTTTCTTTCAAGGAAGCATTACACTAATTCTGTTGCAAACTTTTATTGAACAGACTCTAAATTAACACACCAATCCAAACCTTCTATTTGTTTTGACTGAATCATGCCGTTACTCTGCCTCCTCCAAACTGTTTGTAGAAAAGCCTCAGGAACACATCTTTGAGAAGCGTGCAGTTTTATCCACTTGTTCTCCTTCACTTTTGCCAAACCAGAATGAAAGGGTTCCCTTTTCTTCTTAATAGCTTGATTTACAGGCCATTTGTGGTTTGACACCATTCAAGACAATTAATTCACGCCTCCTTTCCTGAGTTAAATTAAATTTTAATTTAAAGACAGGCTGCAACGGTTTCTTAGAACTTGGTGTCATTTGTTGTGCTTGTGTAAAAGCAGCGGGAGAGATCACCCTTTTGGAAAAGCTTTTTAATTCTGGACAAGTGCAGCCATAGTAACAGCAGACAGGATCCTCTTAGAGGCAGAAGAGTGAAAGGGGACTTGGGCGAGACATATTCTTCTTTGACTGAGACTGCTTCTTTCTTGAGCCCTCCAGCTCCACGTGGAGCATTTGAAAAAGAACAGAGGTGGGGGATAGGATAAAGGAGGTATATATTAAGCTTTTCTTTCCTCTCACCACTTAATTTCCTTGCAGGCGCGCCTCGCGCCGTTGTAATGAATGTAATTGCTGCCTTTGATGAGAATGCTATTATCTGGATCACACTTTACATGGGCAAACAAGACTGGCCCTCCCTCCACCTCCACCTCCAATTTAACTCAGCAGTCAGACCCCCCAATTATGCAGGGAACAAGTGGCTTTTCATAAAACCAGCGTGTCGCTTTTGATTGGTAAGGCTTGGAGCCGGCTACATGTGGACAAAGGATAGATTAGATGTGATATAGGCACACCAAAAACCCCATTTACTTGATTAATTTCCTGCAGGACCCACAGAGAGGTTTCACTCTCGCCCTGCTGAATTCGAGCTCCTCTTTAAAGACAAACCTTCATCATTTGATCGATGTGGAAACTCAGTGGACTGACAGACATTTTATTGACCAAAGTTTGACCACAGCTGCCTGAGCTTCAGCCGTGAATTGGCAGAAATAGAGAAGTACTTCCCTTTAGCGTGGGAGAATCGGCTGATATGATAATCACTTATCTAAAAAGTTGTGATCTATTAGTATTTCTGCCCTCATGCTAGACCAGCTCTCTTTTTTTGTCATGATCCTCCTCTGGTCTCATGTCACTTTCCACCTCCCCTCCTATCAACACAAACAAATTAGGTTGTCGTCTCATTGTCTTTGCCTCTTACTACATCCTAACATGAGTGCTATACACCTATTTTATATTTGACATGAAAAAATATGATGGGAAATCATGAGAAAATCTGAAATAAAGATGCTCTCGTAGAAGAAAATCCAGGGCCATACTTCAGGCTGCTTTATTTCCGTATTGTTCAACATAGTCACGCACTCACACGCACACCTCAGTCTGGCTCTGACAACCCACCGTGATTCTGTCCAATATTCCAAACAGGCGGACATATTGAGAACAATCAAAGAGACTGTCACATGTGACAAATTATACAATTAGTCTGCAAAGACTCTCATCCTTAAAATAGATTCATAGACATTTCTTCTTCTTTTCTGGTGAGTGACTGTTCCTCTAAGCAAGCAATTCCCATGTGATAAATCGCTAATCAATTCATTTGACTATGAAGCTTTTAGCATAGCTGTGAGCGATCTGCTGCATTCGCCTGCATTTCCGACTCTAACTCATTGTGTTGTTGTGATGTGATGGATGCTGGCTGCTTGACCACCTGACTCTTTAAGGTTTATACCATCAGAAACATGTTGCCATCCGGACCCAGTCATCGCTGAGAAAGAATTGGTCAATATTTCTGACTGAAGTGGCATTTTAGCAGTATTTATTTGATGGTCCCGCAACCAAAACCACGGGCCACAAATAAAGAAGATGGTATAATAGCTTTTGACTGGCCGGCTAGCTCCCAACTTGAAATGAAGTGTCCAGTTGTGAGTTATCGTGGCCAAACGTCATTTGTACAGCCTGAAAAGTGGGGACATTTTTCTAGCTTGTCACTCTCTGGGTATAGCTCATTGTCCTGAATGATGCCTCTGAACGCACAGTTGCACTAATACGAGCATTTCACTCTTGCCGTGAGAAGGCTGGTAATGGATTGGCCTGTCCATAGCAGGATAATATAGTGTATCCACTGGCACATCTTTAAACACCACGGGTTAACATGGGGTGTATCCACTCACAGCACGCCTGTCATTCTGCTAACCTTTAACAGTCATCAGCATGGCTCCAACTAAAATAATGCATGATCTCATTTTCTTCAGCATGCAACGGACGGTCATCTCAAGCAAAAATCTGCCAAAAGTCTTTTGCATGTTAAAATATCTTCATCCGTGTCACACCAGATTAACAGTTAAAAATTCAAGGATTATTTTTCTTCAAAAATCACATAAACTAATATGAGAACCTACTTTCTCATTTTACACAACTGCTTTATTTTTAAATGATCATCTAAACTGTTTAAATTCAAGTGTTTGATGCAATAAATCTGTGAGCATTTTTCAGATTTTAATCACTATGTATTTTTCTACTGATTTAAAAAAACCTATATGCTTTTTGTTCTACAGAAAATGGTTTCAGCTGCCTTTCCTTCTCTTTGTCAGAACAAAAAGAGATCCATATCTATTAAACCAAAAGGCACAAAGTCTTTGTGCATGTGACATTTATGAAATCAGACTTCCAAATAGAATGCACGTCTCCATAGAAACCTCATAAAATATATGTGTGGAAATATGCTCTTTTCTAAAAATGTGGATTCTTATAAACATCTTTAGACATAGAGAATATTAATGTAAAAGCTTCCAGTATTCCTCGATCAGAGTTGTTGGAGCAGTTATTGAGTCTGAACTATCGTTCTAGATTGGACAGCACTGCTAATGTGCGGGAAGTTTTAGATTAATGAGGCCTCTGCTCTTTGAGGTTATTGATCAAAAACAATCTGGCCAGGAACGATTTCCCATGCTCCCCTGCTGTAATGTTAATAATGCATCAACATCATGAACAAAATTGGCCAAAGTATTTCTTGGGGCATTTTCAGGATAAAAATTCAAAGCTCGAACAAATGTGAGGGGCACTTTAAATGATCTGTGTTTATCTCTGTATGGATCCACTGAAGTGGGTGAGCCGGGCTGGAGAGTGACTGAAATGATCGGTCTTAATGGGAGGGGAGGTTTAGATTAATGAGGCGTGAGCCTGTGTGTGGCAATAAGCAGGAAAGTTTAATATCTTTTATCAGTAAAACTGTGAACTGTGAAGAAGAGACCAAAGAGAAAACACAAACAAAAATGTGTGAAAAGTTGATCAAATGCCACTTTAAAGCTATTTCAAAAAAAGATAGGAAGTGAAAATATAAACAGAAAATTCCAGAATTCCAGAATTAATGTTGTTATCAAATTGATTACAGTATTTTCTGAAAATAAATGTGTGCTGAAAAGATTTTTTAAATAAATAGAAAAAGAAATATATATATATATATATATATATATATATATATATATATATATATATATATATATATATATATACATATATATGTATGTATGTGTTTTGGTAAAATGACAAAAAAGAGCTCAAAAACTTTATATATAAATGTATATAAATGAGGGAACATAAATAATTGATTCACAAAGCACTCCCAGACCTCTATACATTCAGAGATGACTATAGGTGGGACATATTGAGCTTTAATAATAACAATTATTGACAGAATGGTCAGAAACAATTTCCTCTTTCCCTGTTGCATTTTGTCTTTTGTTAACAGCAGTAGAAATTCCCTGAGTCCATCCTTTTAGATAAATTTGGGTACTTGCATAATATCGGGATCGAGGACTTTTTTTTCTCTAGTGGGACTCTTGACCATTTTATTTTAGTTTGATGAGAAATAATCTAAACCACAACATTTACTGCAACCCCCTTAACGTCAGAAATATCTTTCTAAGATTTATTTTCTGAAATGTATAAAAAAACAACAACAATGCACCGGGGGAAGCATTTGGTTGTTGTATTTAAACTATTCCCAAACACATACATGAATAAGACCCGTGCCCTGGGAGCAGAAGTTCTGTGTGTTTGTTGTATTTCGTACGTGCAAATAAGAACTTCCATTAAGATGTTTTAGGCTCCAGAAACCACAGCAGTCTTAGGGGCTCCTGAAGTTGCGTCCTCTATTTGCGGGGGCACCCTCACCGGTGCCCCTGCGGGCATTGTTAGCTTGATGATGATGGGAGCTACCTCTGCCATAATGGGTGGGTTGACTAACCTTTGACCCTGCATTGATCCGATGGCTGTGTCCAGCTGGGCCTTCTCAAACCCAGTCAGCTGGAGAGATGTTTAAAAGCTAAAACCCCGGCTCCCGTCCACAGCAGTACACCCTCATTATTTACATCATTTACCTGTGACAGTGACAAACCTGCACGGCCACACCACAGTTTATTAAGGTCACCGTGGAAGCCCAGGCCAAGCCAGTCCAACAGTGTGTGTGCATGTGCGTTTGCAGTCAGTGAGGAGTGAAAGACTCCATCCCATAAGTGTGAGATTATGAGTATAGATGCATGCTTCAGATGGAGTGGGACTGCTTTGTCCTGACATGGGGTGCTCTTCAGTTGGGAGTTTTATTTTGATTGATCTGATATGGTGAGCAGCAAATATTTCCAATTATTTGCACTCACCAATGAGTGTGAGTATAAATGTTTGCAGCACAGAGAAGAAAAAGAACCGCCCGCTAAGGTTTATCATTGTTGTCCTTGTAAAACACTAAAGGGAAAGATTTTTGACATGTTTTTGGATGAAATATAAAAGCTTGCAGATTTAAGACCGCTTTCTCTTTATGTCTTCTCTGTTTTTACTTTCAGCGTCAACTTGCTGACTCAGTTCTCCTCTGGTCTTTGTTGTCTCTGCCGTTCAGGAGCAGCAAGATGTTTGTGTGCCATTTATTTCTCAACTTTTGCTGATGCATTTGCATTAACTTGTATTTCTGCTGTTGTACCCAATTCCATATCCACCTGAAATCACCTTCTCTTGCTCTCACCCTTATGTTGTTTCACCTCTTACAGTATGCCTCTTCCTTTTTCCTCTTCCAAAGCCCCCTGTACAATAAAAGACTATTGGTTTCCTCTTGCCATACTTTTCCCACAACACGCTGGTATTTCAATCTCAACTCAATCAAGAAGCCTGACCTGCAGACATAAAGAATTGGCTTTAAGGCTTTCAAAATGGAACTAAATCTCCTGCAGGTCACACTAGGGGAAAATAAGCGGCAAATGTAAGTAAGCATGAAATAGTTTTTCATAAATAATCCAAATGACAGGTAGCTTTCTAATGGTGCCAGGGGGCTGTAAAAGAATATGTTGGCAATTTCTCCCCTATTAAAGTGAAATAGAAAGCCAAATACATAATGCTGCTGACGGAAGAGTTGCATACTTGGGGCTGTTGGAGTAGAGATTGAGGATACAGCTGGGTATTAAAGGCAGTTGTAGTTGCAGGTAAGGTGGTGGAATGATTGCTAGCTTTACAGTTCAGGTCTTTCTGCTGTTGGGAAAAAGAATGCCCGTCCTTCACATCAAATCAATTGGTCAATAACTGCTTCTTTTCCCTGCTTTGGGGACAGGTACACTGCTCCTTTCTATTGAGGTGGACACAGTATTGATTTGATTTGCACTTAGGTTTTTACAAA